TCGTGATTAATTTGAATTATGAGTAGTATTATCAAGTGTTTTTCTCCGAAAAACCCAAGAGCAGGAATTTCATGCGTTTTTTTTCTTAGGATGATTTCTCTGTGGCTTCTGCCGAGTCCCACAATAAAATAATATAGAGAGAGTTCTGTCGATATCCTGTATTGAATGGATGGATCAGAAATGAATTCTGATAACTTTTCCAAAATAGATTTTTGCATCAATTGTTTTGAACCTTTCTTTATTTCCGCGATTTCCCAATTATTTTTGCTCATTTTTTCAGCAGAACTCAATGTGTGGAGGTTTTTCGATATGTTCTATCGAATGAGAGTACCGCTAATGACTTCTGATGATTTTTTCCACAATCAGTTTTGGATGTCGATGTGGGTGGGTGTGAGTGTGGATGTTATTTTGTTCTTCAAGAACACATTCACGTCCATACTCGGTCCTTTATGAATGAACCCTAATCAATGGCTGCTGCACCGAAACAATTAATCATCGAAACTCATACATGGATCGAATTCGCACTTGATCTCGAATAGTTCATCGATTATACTATCTTCATTTATCCCAAACAAAATGTCATTATCTATTTTTCAAAATTGTAAAAAACTTACTTACGATATCTACTTTTATTCAAGAATAATTTTTCAGACGCCCTCTATTGGCTGTAGCACATAACATATGACTGTTCCATCAGTAGATCTCTTCCTTTTCAGTATAGATTACAGTGCGGATGTAGCCGAAATAATTATTCCATTCAATAGGATTCGTAATATGAAAACCCAACTAAACCCGATGCAACGCTGAAAACTGGAAATCAATATTCGCAACTCTTGAACACTTCAAAAAAAATCGTAATAAACAACGAGTTCAGTCAATATTTTTTTTATACTTAGGAGTTCATACCGTTTCATTCTATCATTTTATGTTGTTAATTAGTGTTGTGTATCATACATTTCTTGGTGATGCATGACGAGAAGTGCAAAGAAACAGATTGTATCGTGCACTAGATCGGAAAATACACTCCAATCGAATTTGACGGATGATAAGGCAGATCACCTTACTTTTCCTTGTACAGGATGGTGTATTTGTACACAATTAAATACGAGTTTTACGTGATATTTCTCTGTATCTATCGATTAGAATGAGCATCGAGAATAGAAAAATTTGCATTATTGATGTTTGTCATTCATTCACGTTCTAAATAAAGTACAGCAATGCGATATTGGCTGTGACTCTCGGTCGAATCGAAGATGGAAAATTTGCCTAGTCTTTCTTCTATGGCAGGATCGTTTTGAATGGTATAAATGCGAAGAATTACTTTTTGAACTGATGAGAACAATTATCGTCCCCAACAGCAGTGATTTAACGACGATACAAACAGTAGACATCATGTCAGTGTAAAAGTAATGATCATCAACAGTTATATCGATATCAATACTTTATCGATGAAGCGTGACAGCGAGTATATAATCATGGAACACAAAAAACTACCGTGGCAAGTTTGTTTTTCCAATCAATGCGAGATCAAGACTATTTGACAATAGAACAGTGTGACACGCAAGAGAAGAATGAAACAGGAAGAAGAGCAGGAATTGCTTTCTATAGGTGAAGTTTGATTCGAAATACTCGTTAGTGGCACATTTTCACAAGCATCATGAACTTCGTTGATTTTCTCTTCTTCCATTTTCGAATGTCATCTTTCACATTGTTACCCATTTACTACTATATTAATTTTCGTAAAATTGTTGAAAAGCATCTCTAGTACAGTCTACGTCTGACATTGATATGCCGAATTCGACTTGCATTTTTCCTTTTGACAATGATAGGTTACTCAAATTTGGCCATTAAGAAAACTATTTCTATTCTAATTTTTTCAAACATAGATATTTGTCGGAAAATATACAGAATAAAACTTCACAGAATATACTATAATATTATTAAAAAAATTTATAAATCACTTGAACCGTTTTAGAATTATTCATGTGAACTTTCTGGATAATCTTTTGGAGCACCCTATATCTAAAAGCTATAATCAAAACGTTAGCTTTTGTGAAAATTTAATGATACTAAATTTCACGTCATAGATGAAAAATATCAATCAAAGTATTGTCCAAAGAGAAAAAATCAACATTAAGATTAACAGTAGATTCAATTAAAAAAATGAAGTACAATTTGTCCATATAGATTACATGGAACATTTTAGCAAACATATAATTCTAAACTAGATGGCATCTGAGCTCAGCGCAAAGTGTAATATCTATTGAATTGATAAAAATTTACTATTATTATTGAAGTTTATTGTGAAATTTACATCTAGTCTTGTTCCGATTATTATGGAAAAACATACTTCTTAATTCAATTTGTTCACATTGAGAAATCGCTGAGAAACTATGTCGAGTTTCACCAAGCATTTTGTTTAAATACAATAAATATCGATATTTAGCGACATTTGTAAATCAACTTTATCTATTGTATTCATGCGAATGAATGAAATTGTTTCATTTATATTAATATCAAATACTCATTATCATCTACAACTTGCAAAGTTTTGTTCGGTTATTTATACAAACCTTTTGATACAGAAAAAACTTTGATATTTTTCATCCTTGTTTTTTCCTGAACAATCCTAACAAATGGTATTACTTGTAACCCCTCTATAGAATTGTACTAGATACCAAAAAAGATGTCAACAACTGTCCATTGATGGATTATTATTAGTGCTAGCGATAATTAATCATTGCAAATACCCAGCGTCTACTCTCACTTCATTCTATTGACATAATGAAAACGAAATCCATAGATTATTTATAACATCTGGATTTTACTTTCGATGAACGAAACATCATACTGAAAATCGGATTAAATTCCTTTTATATAAAAATCTTAATGTCTCAAATGACATTTCAACAAACATCAAACGATGTACCGTTCTTGACATCATTGTTTCGCAAAATTTTGAACTTTGAATGAAGAATTCGACGAAGGATAAGTGCTTTGCACTTTAATTACCAAGGTAATACTGTTTTGCCATAAGGTGTACATAAACAGTTGTAATTGATAAGCTGACCTAGACAATCAACACCTAATACTTCGAAGATTTGAATATTTAATGAATGAATGAATGAATATATATATATTATATAATCGATCGCAATAGTCAACCAAATTGTCATACAAATCATCTTTTTAAAATGACTTTATAAAGTTGATAATAATATTCACCATGAAATTTATAAAGAGACAATCAATGACAATATTTCTATATATGAACGGAATTTATCAAAATTTAATAAAAATAGAAATTTTTGTTTTTCACATATTTTTCTTTGCTTTTAGTTTAACTGGATTAGTTTCTTCTTTCTTCAAACAAATGTACAATGTATGAATTAAAATGACATTACCAACCCTTTCATGCTTCACATTACTAATTTTTACGCACACTGAAGAATGAAATTCAGGCTACACAAAGAAAAAACAAAATTTTTTGTATTGACATCGTCCAGAGAAGAAAAGTAGAGAAAGAAAGAAAAAAAGAGAAGAATATTTTTCTTTTACTCAAATGTTGTTTTAAGTAGAAATGATCACAGTGTTACTAGTGGCGGAACCAGGATTTTTTGGTATGCTGTAGCTCAGCTTTAGAGCATGGGATCCAAATGAAATTTATGGAGGTTGATATTAGTCCCAAATGATGACTTCCTATGAAACGATTTTTACGATCAAAGTTTGCGAAAAAAATTAGCATTTTCCTGAGCTCCCCCAAGAAATTTTTAATACTTTTAGTAGTATCCGCTTTTTGAGAATGCCATTGTAAGCTACGTTGAATTTCATCGACAGATTTCAAATTTCATCTAAAAATATTCATCCATTTAGAAGTTATAACGTTTTGAACTTCTGAGGTAAATTTTTTGAAATGTAGGAAAACTTCAAGAAGCCATAACTCCTAAACGGATGAATATTTTTAGATGAAATTTGAAATCTGTCGATGAAATTCAACGTAGCTTACAATGGCATTCTCAAAAAGCGAATACTACTAAAAGTATTAAAAATTTCTTGGGGGAGCTCAGGAAAATGCTAATTTTTTTCGCAAACTTTGATCGTAAAAATCGTTTCATAGAAAGTCATCATTTGGGACCAATATCAATCTCCATAAATCTCATTGGGATCCCATGCTCTAAAGCTGAGCTACAGCATACCAAAAAATCCTGGTTCCGCCACTAAGTGTTACAGACAAACGAGCACGGGACTGACTCCAATGACACATTTTCTTTTTTTTAAAAAAGAAATATAAAAGGCATCGCTTCCGACTTCTTCTAATCAATGTTTTCTTTTGAACCCAGCGTAATACCAGCATCAGAAAAAAGAATGGAATTGTGTTAGATGTATTGTTCATTCTTTCTTCTTATTTACTCTATTTTGAGAGTCTTCCTTTCGTATCATAATCATCGTCTAAAGAAAGAATAAATATAATTATTTTTCTTATTGGTTGGATTGATTAGATTTATTAAGAATTCTCAGAGATTTCTGTATAAACAGCAGTATATTGTCTTTTTGTTTGATACCAAATAATAAGTTCATTATGCAAGAAATCCAACTTTCTTTCATTATGTGATATTATAGTAACCAAATATTAAATTATTATGAAATATTATACAATTCTGGTTTTATAAAACTGAAAGAGATAAGAGGTAAATTTTTCAGCTTGATATATAAATGCGTGTGATAATATAATCTATAATAAAATGACTTTATATCAGTAGAACTAACGAATATTTTTCGATTTATGTACAACTTCAAAGATTGATTTTAACCACATGTTTGATAAGAATTAAAATTCATCTTTGTCAAACAGAACGACTGTAATGAAATAGTTCGAACTAGAATAAGAACATAAAATACATGTCATAAATCTGACGAACATATTTATTCTCTTCTCTTTTTTTTTCCTTTTAGATTTTTTTTTCTCTTATTACATCGAATGTGTTAATGTTATATTTTGAATGTGGTTCATTCGAAAAAACTGTCCATCAAATGTATCTGTTGTAATATTTTTAATATTACTTACTATTTCTTTATACATAACATTTTATAGTAAAATATTTCCTGCAACACCACCAAGTATTAAATTACATGAAATACCACATGTTAAATTACTTGAATCAACACCAAATATTACCTTACCTGAAACACCACCAAATATTACATTACTTGAAACACCACTAAATATTACATTACCTGAAAAACCATATATTAAATTACCTAAAATTCCAAAAGAAATTAACAATATTTCAATTGTATATCTTGATAGTTGATTAGATTTAACATCAAATACAGCAATATGTCAAAAAAATGATTATTTAATTATTTATATTTTATCGACAGTAACTAATGTTCAACGACGAGATGTCATACGTTCAACATGGGCATCAAAACAGAATGGTGTCTGTTTTGTATTTATTCTTGGACAAATTCCAGGTGTAATAAATAATGCTGGTGAAATTAATTTGCAAGTTAACAATGAAAAAAATAAATATCAAGATATTATTCAAATAGATCATATTGAAAGTTATTCACATGTTGTTTTATAAAGAAATGGCTGCTTTACAATGGTCATATTATTTTTATCATGATATTCCATATTTATTTAAAACAGATGATGATTTAATTGTTGATACAATTTTAATATCATCTATTGTTAAATTACTTTTAACAAATACTTCAAATGATAATTCTTTTATTACAAAACATCGTCCAACACTTCTATCAAATATAATATTATCTGATCGAATAAGATTTTTTCGTGGTGGTTGGGCTATGGATTATCAACCAACATTACGTGGTGGTGGAAAATTTGGTGTTAGTGAAAAAGTTTGGCCACATCCTGTACTTCCAGCATATTGTTCTGGTTTTGGTTGGTTTATGTCAAAATATATTCGTGATCAACTTGTAAATGTATCATATACATATCCATTACATAAAACAGCTTGGATAGGTGATGTATTTATATCAGGATTTTTAGCTAAAGAAGCAAATGTAAAATGTACAGGTATTGCAATTGATTTTGATCAAACACCATCAGCTAATTGTTCATGTTTAATGGTTAATAATCCAATGTTAACTGTATGTTCATCATCATTTCATCTTGGTGGTGGTGGTACAGAAATGGAAAGATATATGGAATATCGAAAAGCTTGGAATGTTATTCAATTACGACATAATTTTACTCATAAGAAAATTGATGTTTGTTAAGATTATTTTATTTTATTTTTGTTAAATTTTTTTTCATATGATTATTTATATTAAGTAGGATAAAGGTTATAGAATTTTTTCAATCTGTGAAACATACAACGAATCATTTGAAAAGTTTTTCTCATCAGCACTTTAGATAATTATTCGACAATTAGTTTTACTGTTGTTTTTAGAGCTCGGCGGTTCCAAGAAAACTGGAATCGAGATTTTTCACTTTCGTGTACCCGAAATCGTGAACAATAGATTTGATCTGTAAGATAATAGATCGTTCTATCTTCCATCTCATGCATATGTATTCTCTCTTTCATTCTGTTAAATAGATTCCTCTTAAATGTTTTCCTTTCTTTCTGCTGCTATACACTGGCATCATAATATCTTCCTCTTTTCTCTTAATGTATTATCATATAGTTTTTATGTGATTATTTTGAGCCAAACACAATAAAAGGGTTCAAGAACCACTTTTCAGTTGAAAAACAAAGTTCCGTCCTCGAAGGATTAATAAAATATTTGTATGAACAATTTCAAAAAAAGAAATATCGAAATTTCTGAAAAAACTAATATTAGTTGCTTGGTGTTTGATATTTGATAAATGGTTCCGATTCCAATTTTGAGGAATCGAATCTAGTTGTTTTCCAAAGTATTATCCCTTATTAACAATGCACTTGGACATTCAGAGTCTACAACAAATAACTACAGTATAGAATTCGTCGTAATGCGGGAAATTCAAATTGCAAAAACAATGTTGTTAGTATTACAGGGAAACAATTCACAGAAGTCAAGAAAATAACTGACAATCTGCTCATAGACAACGAACATTAGATATGAGTATAGATACAAATGTTTACCAAAGCTATGGGTGTGTTTTATTTATTCTGGAGCTTTCGCCTATTGAAGTTTTCGCTATTTCAATATGAATATTGCTTTAGTCATTTCTAAACATTCTGATTAATAAAAAAGATAAATATCGACATTCAGTTACTGTTTTTCAGCGAGATTCTCTAATTATTCATTCCATGGGGTACATCTTCATTTTTCACACAACGAACTCACCCTTGTGCTGTACTATGTACGATTAAATCACGTATGTACAGGTTAAGATTTGTGGGATGTGAAAAAGAATCACCCTTCTATCGACTATATGACTGATTCTACACTGCGACTAATTGTCGTTTTTCCATGCATTCAATTAAACCAGATTACGAAAGTTGTTTTTGAGATCATCTTTTGTGAGGCTGTTTATAGTTTGTTTTAATGCAATTAACAACAACGTTGAACTGCATTCCATGTAGTTGATATTTGAGTTTTAAAGGTAGGAAGAAGTAATATGGGTTCAGATCTGACAAACATGCTTGTTTTGGATGCGATTTCATATGATATTCTTTCAAAAATTTCGTTGACATTCCAGACTTTTCATGATGAAACCTCAGACCTTAAATATCGATCTTTTATTGCTTTGCTGATGTAGTTTAAAAACTTGAGCTAGGCAGCTATTGACACGCTAACTTTCTTTTACTAGATCATTATGGAATATGGACTGAATAAAACTAGATTTCGTGAAAAAATTTGGCACGTTTCATTTATCTGACAAGGGAACATATCTAGTTGTTAATCGACGATCGAAGTGATATTTTACTCACTAGTAGAACTCAGTAAGATTAGAAAAATTCTATAAGGATTTCTATGATATTCAAAGTATCCTCTATTCATTCGTATGTTCAATTGAATGTTATAATTAGAATGGTATAAAACAATTGAGCAAAATTCGTTTGTCATATTTCAATTATTTCGAAATCCTATTCAGCATTTTTAATAATCGAATGTTACTTAAATATTGAAGTAAAAATATACTTAATATTGTATTTCTAATAATAATTAGATTGTTGATTTGTGTATCGTTTTAATATCAACCAATGTAAAAGAAACACATACCAACAGATAATATTTGATAAGTACCAGTCTTAAATTTTATTTTTTCTGTTTTGTATATTGAGCAAGAATATGACGTGGAAATGAAATTATTTTCGCCCCTTATTGACTGTTCGTGTTTTTATCTTGTAACCCTTATAAAAAAAACAAGAATGGGTGCATATTGCACAATTGCAATGAAATGATTGCCGTTTGATTGTGTAATAACCATACTCGACGATGAGAGTATAAAAGGCGATGTATACCATTGCAAAACTACAATTTCTCGTTTGTCTCTTAACAGTTCAGTGTCGCAACTTTGTCACTGTTAGAGTTATCGCGTTATTTCAACAATACTTCGTAGTTTGGAGACTTTTTTATAGTTTCCTAATGCCTTCTTCGGTCTTCGGGTGGTACGTTCCAACACATATTGAAATGTGGGGAAGCCCGGCATTCTTCTATCGAAAGATGAAGCTAACGGGCCCCACGAGTCATACCACTGGAGGCCCTTACTTCAAGTGAATACATCATTCATCACGATAATAGAAGTGTGTTTGAATGAAGTATTACTTTGTATTAAGGGTACCAGTATATTCGTCGAATGTATTAATACTAAAAGGTAAGTATAAGACATATTATCTTTTGATAGATGTTCATGATCATGTATTTGTCTATTTTACATCAAAATAATATTTATTCTTAATTTGAATATGGATTAGAAAGACAATAATACTACGGAACAAAAAAACAAAAGAATCATCGTTATTCTCGGTCATCGGCAATTCTACGAACAATATAATGATGTGCAAATAATGGATGAAAGATTGTTTAAATGAATAGAATTATAACTTGAAAGAAAATATTTTTTTATGTAAATATTTATCAAATAAAAATATATAGATAAAAAAAACCCAATGACTAATTGTTGATATTTATATTCAACAATAAAGTTATTTACTTTTTATTTGTTTTCTTTTTGCTTTTTTTTACTAATAAAATAAAGCAATAAAAAATGACATGAAACTTTTATTTGCCAATATATATAATACAACAAGAAAAATTACTTTTGTTTTTTAGTTTCACACATGCTTGCAATACAAATAGCGTATAACTATTGATGCAATATATTTTTTCGTAAATGGGCTAAATCAATTTGATCTTGTTTTCAAAAGTGTTAAAAAATATTCTAATGATAATTGTGACTAATTTCATAGAAAATCAATATGATGAGATTTCACTTGTTCTTATAAACAGCAATATTCAAATTTTCAAAAAAAAAAAAGAAATTTTGAAAAGTTTAGCAATTTCAGAAACTTGTATTTAGAATTAAAAACTTTTCATAAGTTGCTTGAAATTTCTGTATGATTCTCGAAGAGATGAAAATTTTTTTAAACCGGACAACAAAAAAACAAAAAACAACGATCTTTTCACATTTATTTTCAAGTAGAAACATCATCTAGGTATGCATTCTATGTCAACATATTGTCATCATCATTATAAAAAGATTAGAAAAGCAAAGATGTGTAAAACATGGAAAGTAAGATAAGCTGAAACAAAACAAATTATTTTCATGTTAAAAAAAAGAAACGTAAGAGGGTCACATTTATGCATCATGCAAGTGTGTTTTTTAATGTGTTCTTTCTTTTCTCAAGCAACACTTTCTCTATGAGTATGTATTATATGATGCGGATCAACGAATATGAGTCTATAGACGTATTTTGTACCAGAAGTCACATGCTCTCTGCATCTTTGCATGAAGAGAAGTCTAGTGTTAAGCTTTGTAGAAATATTCCCAGTGATCTATATTTGTTAAATATCAAACCAAGGTTATAAAAAACGATTATCTCTTGGTCTCGTTGATACAACTCATGATGAAAGATTTACGTATTGAATTTTTCCTACAGTTTTGATGTTGAGCATCTTCAACACGTTTCAATGATCAAATGTCGAAATAAATCGTCTCAACTCTTGAAAATTACGATACAATCCTGAGAAATGAAATTGATCAAAACTTATTATTATTTAAGAACTCGTACATTTTATATGAATATTTTCTTCGTTAACCTCTTTCAATGGTAACCATATATCTATGATCCAAAACGGCCACTGCAAGGAAATAGACTGCATCGGGTACTTTGTCAGAAAATATTTGCAAATTGTACTTGCTAAACGATGGGCCTTCCTTAAATTTTGCTAGCACCTCGCGACTCTTTTCGTCGTGTATTTCACTTCTAGTGAAGAATTTGCTCTTGACTACAAAGCGCTTTCCGTTCCAATTGATCGTGTATTTGAAACGGTAAAAATGATGATTTTCTGTGATAGTTCCATCTATCCATTGATTAGAGCGGCTATCGAGAATGGAAAACGTTGCATTCTTGATTTCTTTTGTCCATTCGCCTTCAAGATTCGCCACGAGTTCTTTCGATGGATAGGCAGTAAGCACGACCGCGTGAATGTCGGAATCGTAAGACTCGATGCGATATTGAAGTTGTTTTTCGGTTGCATCGAAAATTGAATATTCAGGGAGTCTGAAGTCCGGCATGATACGATCTTTCTTCATAACATAAGTGCGAAGGACACGTTCTGATTGAATGGAAGCAACGATAATAGTCAACAGCAGCAACGTGTAAGTGATACAAGTGGCTGACATAATGTTAATATGAAAGAAATGATAGACTTGTGCGTGTAGGACAAGAAGACACGATATATATATATATATATCGTCAATATTGATATTGACGCTTGCGGCGAATGCTCGTTACTGATTCTTAGATCGGTATGAATATAGTCTCGATGAATAATTCCTTTATTTGATAAAAAGAAAAAGCAAATTGCTTCTCATTAAATACAGAAGATGACCTCAAGAAGTTTGTCTTTCTGATAAATGAGAGAACGAAAATTCTTATTCATTGATGCCACTTTTGTTTCTTTCATTTAATAGAATAAGATTCATCATATTTCTTCGTATAAAATAATGTTTAATATAATTGACTCATGAATGAATTTCGTAGCTGGTATCGAGTTTCATTCCACAAAGGATTCACTTTCGTCGTCTACTCACGAAAATAAGAACAACAACAGAAATCAACTTGAATAATAGCTTCGTAAAATAATTAATTTTCTCTTAAGTCTGTTTTATTTTAATTATTCCAATATTTTTAGTAAATTGATTTCATCAAAATCTACATTTGACGAAGAACTCCAATAAAAAGATTATTTATTAACTCCTGAAAACACCTCAACAAGACATAATACATCATGAAACAGAAAAAATTGTTTTATGTCGACAACCGATAAATACATTCATTATTGTTTATTTGAAATCATCTATCTCATCCATCATTATTTTAAACATTTAATATCCTATCATAAGATATTGTTTCTCTCGAGTATTTTATTATTAATTTTATTCGTTTATCATTTTCAAGGTTGACATGAGAAAAGTATGCAGTAAATCGAAATGTTTGTGTTTTTTTTTGACATAAATGACTTTTAAAATTCTACATATAAGAAAGTGTAAAAATGCTCAACGATATCGATATCAACCCGTTTTAACCAATTGTAATCGTCATATATATTACCTAATCTATTAATTGTTTATGACTTTGTTGAATTGTGACACTGTGAGCATTGAGATGAAAAATTTCATTTACAAAGAATTTCAGAGCTTGCTTTTTTTTATTTAGTTTCTTCATTTTCTACTCTAGAGAAGTCATTTTATAAAAATAACTGAATAAATTGAGCAAGTTTATGTTGCTATGATAATTGAATGAGAAAATACCATACTAATGTTCTTCGTTAGTGCAAAGAAAACAAAAAAAAACGGTATTAAAATGGTTAATACTCGAAAGATGCAAGAGAAATAACTAAACTAAACGATTTATCATTCCATAATGAATTTTCATTCTAGACATCATCATAGATGTTGATGTTCTTCGATCCATTATTCATCGTTTTCAGTTATCTCTAAGGATAATGTCATATGTGAAAAAATATCTTGATCCATTAATTGCCCAAGTAAAATTAGTTATGTATGAATATGATTCAATAAAATTTATTCGTTCGTGAATACTCAAATGGAATTGTTTATTCAATAACAGTAATAAAAAATGAAAACAACTATAGCAGATTTATTAGAAACAGGCCCAATATCATTCTGAATTACAGTGGGTGTGGGTGTCGATCTTCTTTCCTAGCACACCCATATCCACGCCACATCTAACACTCATCAGTCATAAAACCCACAGTACCGAAATCGAAAATATCTACGAATTTAAAATTCGAGACTTATTGGTCTGAGAAACCATAATTCTATATAATCCGAGAATCCTTAGTAGTATGTCAACTCCCCTATCAGATTCTGTGTGGAGGAAAGCTCCACGTTTCTCGTTATTTACTGCAGCATTCATCGCCAATTGTGTCTCTCACAAAATCCGAAGACATCAAATCAATAGGAACAAAAATAAAATGAACTTAACACAGGATAGAGCATGATTTTAAAAATGTGTTTCAGACAGAGAATGCAGACAAAAAGGATTTAATTACCGATTGTAGACCCTAGACTACAAGTCTAGAGAATATCGCGAAGTACATTGCGCTTTAGATATTAGATAGCTTTTTTAGTCTCATTTGTTTATTAAAAAATACTTATTATTTGTTATTCGCACTGCTGAATTAAAAAACTGGAGAGCTTTTTTAGAAACAGAACATATATGAGCAGGTTCATAGATAATATGGCAAAAGAAAACACTGAGTCAATTATGGTTACATTGTTGGTTGAACTTTCACAGCGCCGATGAATTTCAATATCGGAATATCGATAAACTGTGCACTAGATTCGACAAGAGTTACATTGGCATCGATCGGGTCAACTTTCCACTTGAGATATTTATTAACAATTACCTTGTACCTTGTCTGTGGATAATGCAGAAAAGGTATATAGATTTCTGTGGGCTTATTGATTGTTTTATCAACAAAAATAGAATAATGAAAATATTCGTTTATCGGCATGGTATATCATAGAAAGAAGTGTACCGGCAATAGCATGAGCATAAACGCGTGACAAGCATTTGATCAAAGCCATACTAGTTTAACTGTTGCCCTAGAAGATCCACGACTGAAGAAATCTATCGGCTTCAAGCATACCCGCTTCGAGTTGATTATTGCAAGTCGATGAATCATCACATCCGCCGAATTTTGTCAGAAATCCAGAGTCATCCAATCGATGGATTTCATTCTTAAATGAATATTTATGAATGTCGATGATATGAATAAAAAATAGTCGAGAACAATATTAATCACTTGTACTGAACGAAAAACAGCTGATCCTACGGTGTCACTGCAGAGCCTCGGTCAAAAACGGATATATTTTCATTTCCTGAAACGGGATTAATCGCTAAGGTGGTATAGTAATAATGACAAGAGAGAACACTTCGATTTTGATAATCTATGCCGCCTGGCACATAAGAAAATCCGCTATCAAAAATTTGTCCCCTGTGTCGTTGTAGAGATAAAAATATTATTATGAAGATGCGAAAATAACAAACTATTTAACGATTGACTTGCCACTATAAGTGATCGGTTCGTAGAAGATGAGTGTCTTCGCGTAGACAGTTCGAATGGCATTGACAAATTTGTCATAAAATGGTAAGAAATTTTTTGGAACCAGCAATGGTTGTGAGTCTCTTCAAACTACAAGCACACCCATACCCTTTGTTGGTTGTATGTTCGAATGAAACAGATATGGTTTATTCCTGACATCACAACTGAATTATCGATCTTCAATGTTGAACAATACGGAAGAAATTAAAACGCAAAAGAATCGAAGCAAAAAAATACGGTGGTTTGGTTATGATATAATTCTATTCTCTTGTCAAAGTTATTAAATGATTTGATATTATTCAACAACAGCATGTTTGTAAGTATGACTCATGTCACCTTGAGTTCGTCTATCAACAAACCCATTATGGTGGTAGATGTTGTGGGATCGATTATACGTCTCTGAAAAATATCATAAAAGCAACTTTTAAACGAAAGTTTAATCAAAACTATTTTGCTTTCATCGAAACTTGATACATATAAGAAGCAACATCGTTTATTCGATTTGTTACAGGTGAATGTCTAAGTCGAGGGGCTGAGCCATTGCCACCATACCACAAAAAAAAGATACTCGGTTTTCGAAAATTTTCTAATAGTCAGAATCCATTTTCGAGAGTGTTCTACTTGGAGACAAGATATTTTGTGATTTAAAATTGATCAAAATAAAATGAAATCTGTCTTTGAAGATGAAAATCAGTCTTTAATTGATTCAATCAAGAAATGACCAATTTTAACTTTTTTATCGGCATTTTTTTTTTATATATAAAGAAGTATTTTTGGATACAGTAATCCTAAGTATGGTATGCATATCAAAGTGTTGCCTAACATTGCATTTTTCATTTGTATGGAGCTGAGGAGTCCAAAAAACTATTCAAAAAATTGAGTTTCTAAAATTAAAACCCAAGAAAAATGCATTTAGCGACTACCTTGTTTAAAATCGATAAGAAATTGAATAATCTGATTTGAAGTAGACTAAAATCAGATTTTTTTAAAAATATGGTTTGTACACTCTGTCAACCAATTCTTCATCAGCATTTTCTGTCCTATTCATTTCGAAATTTTTCAAAGCCAAGAAAATTATAAAAAAAAAAGAAAAGTAATCGAAAACGTCGAGCCGCTGTCGAGAACAAAAAAAAACAATTCTTTTTTCAGCTGCCACCGCAGAGTATGAAAAAAATAAAGTTTGTCAAACACCGCTATTGATCAACTCATCGGCTTCACCTCAAGTTACAGGACGGACGAACGAAAGGGCATCATTATTAAAAATGCCACTTAATGTTCACAAATATATTTTATTTTATCATTTGATATTGATTAAATAACACGTAAACATGAAAAAAAAAGCAACTGAAAACAGATTTATTAACTATTTGCTACGTCATCTATACATTGATGAAGAACAGGATACGTAAGACGACCGAAAATTGAATCTTTTTTCAGATATTTAGTATATAAACAACATTGATGATTCATTTACTCTGACGGATACTAAAGAAATATATGATAGATGAATTTCGAATCATTGGCCAACGAATTATTACTTCATCTATTCGAATTTCTTCGTACTGCTCATCTTATTCATGCATTTTATGGTCTCAATTCTCGATTTGATTCACTTATTTGTCGTCATTTCGTCGATAATGGTATTGATTTTCGATCGATGTACTCTATTGATTTTGTTACAATCTGTCGAGAATATCTTCCAATGTTGATCGATAAAATACCTTCATTGTATTTATCAGAGAAGAATGATTCTTTTTGGCTACTTAATCAATTAGATACTCATGGGTTTACACTTGACAAATTTGTTCGATTGAAAATACTTTCATTAAGCTATCTTTCGTACAAACAGTTAAGAAACAAAATCATGTTAGCATTACCTCACTTAATCAATCTCACACATTTGACTCTCGACCATTGTTCTGTGACAGAAGGTGAGTCTATAGGTCTATTAACTGCCCTTCTTTTGATAAACTCTATATGGAATTTACCCAATCTCACTCATTGCTATTTTGACAATACTTATTCGTGTCTAATGGGTGCTATTCGCTTTATGGAACCAACCGTAAGATCATCAAGCATTAAATATCTGTCGATTTTGGGTCTTAATGATTACTCTATGAACCTGACTCATGTATGTGAAAATACACCAAATCTTCAACACTTATCGATATCCTTTTCCTTAAAGTGTCCTCACAAATTTCTAACGGCAAGTGTTCTATCAATAACTTCTTTCAATTTATTGCTAAGCCTTTGTCGGCTTGATTTAGCTGAGACGTTACAATGGATGCCTAATTTGTGTCAATTGAAAGTAGACTGTGATCATTACATCGATGGATACCAATGGGAAAACATCATTTCAAATAATTTACCCAACCTAAAAAGACTTCATTTTAGAATGACAGGTTGCTATGAAGAAAGTGCAATGATCGAAGAATATGTTGATGAATTACTCAATACATTTCGAACTCCATTTTGGCTCGATGAATGTGGCTGGTTTGTTAGATGTGATTGGGATCTAACGGACAGAAATATTCTTCTGTATACTTTACCATATGCTTTTGACTATTTTTGTATCTTCAATTCAAAAATCGGGAAATCAACTTGTCCTCAAGAGAAGAACAAATGGTCATACGATGCTGTACGTCAGTTAAGATATTATGTTAAGTCAGAGAAGTATTCCCAACTATCATCTGATATTCAATTTTGCAAAATAGAATCACTGAAAATAAGATTTCCTATTAGTGATTATTTCTGGTCAATGGTTCCGACATTCGATCATTTGACTTCATGCGAGATAATATCGGATGATACTAATGAAGAATGTAAAAAACAACTTCAAATTTTGCTTTGTCGTGCATCGCGTCTATCATTCTTAGGCTTTTTGAAGTTTTCTCCAGCCAGTTCTATAGAAAATTTACCATTAGAAATCAAGAATGCATCAATAAAACGACTCGATCTTCAAAGACTCCATGGATCGTACGATGAACAGCAATGTATAAAATTCAGTCATTCACGTCTTGCTATGCAATGTGAAGAACTTCATATTTCTGTAAAAAATCGAATATCAATATGTTATCTAGTTAAAACTATGCCTAATTTGCGATTATTACATGTGAAATGTGAAGAAAATGAGCAAAAGCAATATTCCATAGAAGATAATAAACAAGATCAAAATTCAACAGAAGATAAACTTGTAAACTGGTTAGAACAACAATTGTCTGGTGTACGATCATTAGTTGAAATCTTTGGTTGTCATGGCACTATTGTATTGAGAATTTCTTAAAACGAATTTTACTTAACATCATCGACAGAGAATCAATAAACTGCTTTTGTTTTTATCATATATATATATGTGTTATTTCATCAATATTTTTGCTTCATAGTTTGATTTTTATCGATAATAATGTCAACATAGAATATTTTTTTAATAAACTACCAAGAGAATTATTGTTTAAATCTTCATCAGAATCCATTAGAGAATTTTGTTCAATATTTTTTGTTCCGAATACTAATGATGACAAATTCAAATTTCAATGTTTAGTTTTCTATTATTTGATGAATGTTTGAAATAGTGTTAGTATTTTAAGTTTAAGTCTTTAGATTGAGTTATAACATTTTCCACTGCAATTCAGGCTTGAAAATTTTACTTTGTCGCTAATCAAACTATTGCTGTAAACCGTCTAGTAAACAGTGTTTTATGATATAACATACAGCCTGGCAGCGACTTTATGAAAATCAATCGAGTCATTCGATGAAAAATGTTAACGACTATAAGAGAGTGTGCCGATTTCTTCTGAATTGAAAAGTATCGGATTATAAGGCGACGTTAACATTTTCGACATGAAACAAAACTAACATCATTAGATAGAGAATCGTCAACAAAATCTAGAAAGCTAGCATGCATTTTGAATAAAACTGCTGCGAGTGAAGACAAGATACAGAAGATCGTCACGGACATTCCACATCCTAATTGTTGGATATGGATCACCATTAGGTGTACGCTAGAAAAATTAGCAAATTCTCTTTCGTAATCTTTTTTGATTATTGCTGTTTCAATGTTATGATGAAAAAAATCTCTTGTCATCATCATCCTAATTGTTTAATTAAAGACAATGGAAAAATTTAGATTAAAATATACTCATGTTAATCCCGTATTTTATTGAGCTTGCAATATTAAAACAATTGAGTTAACAAAAAATATTGAACAAGAACGTAAATATGATGACCAAATACTAGCAATAAATTTTTTTTTTCGTATTAGTTTTTCTCCTAATATAAATAATAATAAAGATAATGATTCTTGTTCACCTTATGCGTTGAAAGAAAATGATACTTTGTCTTCAACTAGCCAAAAATCATTCTGCAGAGAATCAAATATGTTACTATGGAATTAAAGATTTGCTTTTCTTCATTGGTCTAATTTCTAGAATGAATTTGAATAAAAAGTCAAATGCATCACCAAAACGAACGTCAGCAACAATTTCATCGCCAGTAAATGCGTGTAATTTGTCGTCTACTGATTGGATGTAGGTGTCAGAGACCGCGAAACGAATAAGATAATCCTTGTTACAAGCATTAAATGGACTTGATTATACCTTCTAAACTACCATTCTTTTATTTCGTATCTATCTAACTTATTTGAGTCAATAATCAATTTTCCACAATATTATTAAATCAATTTAATTGGTCCCAATTACAAATTTACACCTGAAGTTCGAATCTTTGTTCTTTGATTCCAAATTTCTCGGCTATGTTTCATAGCAAACAACGTTTGTCCAGTCGTTTTTGGTTTCATTACGTTCAACTGCTACTCAATGACTGTTTAAATTGGATAATGAGAGCTGTTGTTCAGTAAAAGACTAGAAAATGATAATTAGTATTTTATCTTGCTTTTTTGAATAAAATAACAGATGTTCTACATTTTGTTCGTACTTATTAAATTGTGATAGAACTTTTTCCAACTTCTTCTGTTTTTGAGGGTAGATGTGGGTGTGTCTGCGACTGCGGGTACGGGTGTGGATATGGGTGAAAAGAAGACCCACACCCATAGCCACGCCCACCCACCCTCACACCCAAAGAATCTGGGTGTCGCGGTGCCGTTCTTATGCAGTTGTACCTCACTCTGTTTATGGTTAGCTACATGAATAGCAAAACTTTTGTTTTCAAATAAATACATCAAGACTTTCTATGAGTAGCTGATGAATCTTTTGTTTGCCAACTTGTGTCATATTTTCAAACAGATTTTTTAGAACAATGAAATGCACTAATTTCTAGTTATGCGATAAATTATAATCATAGTAATAAGAATATTTCCCACAGGCTTGAGGGTGTGGGTGTGAAGTCTGGACGTCTATGTGAATCTTCCATTCTCATACACCCACACCTACAGCCTAGTGTACTTTAGAATTGAAAATTATGATAAGATTTTTCTATAACCGTTAATTAATATTAACAAATATTCTATTTTCATAATCAATAGTTTTCCTAAAATATTTATAACAAAAATGTATTCTGTTCAATTTTGTATGTAATAGTATATTTTTGAAACTTTTTCTGTTGTTCGATGATAGTAAAACCGATAAAATAATAAACGTGTCTTAAACTTTTGTCTGCTGGACAAAAACAATTTCTGTTATACAAACAGTATCAGTTCACCGTTAATGTTTTCGATGTAGTAGATTGGTAATTTGTCCCAAGAGCTATCGAAATCACTATTTCGATATCGATTATAAGCTGTCTTTGATGAAAAAAAAGAAGGAAAAAAAGTACGCAAAAATATTGTTTGCATTTTATTTCCAATTACATATAAACATTAAAATTACATTTTTTAATTAACTAAATGTATAGAAGAGACTCTTTTACTATATTCAAGTCATCGAGCCATCAAGGAAAATCCTATTACGTATTTATCTTGTAATATAACAGATCTTCTATAAGGAGTGAAGAAATTCTGATGACAAGCATTGAAAATACAATGAACAAGTTAAATTAAATTGCATAGTACTAGTTATATCTTATGAAATTCAAATTATTTGTTGATTAGTTCGATTGAAATTTTGACGATTGCGAACCAACTGAGACCTATTGTCATGTAAATGCAATGAGAAATATCATAACAAAAACAAAAAAAAATGTTATTATTCTTTCCAATCACTTCAATATGATAGAAAAAAGGACCTGCTCATCCTGTGTATGGTTATAGAATATATGCAAGATAGATTGTGCTGATTTTAATTGAATTCTGATTTTTTCTAAATAGAATCATCAACATTGATGATGCGTAATGACAATAATCATGAACTAGTCATTTCATTTTTCTTTCTATTTTTATTAGAATTAATCTCTCACCGTAGTCGTTATGTCAAAGATAATACTCTTGGAGTGACATATTTTCAGAACAATCTTCTTTTTAGAATACAAAATCTTTCATAGAAAATAGTTGCAGGCAAAAAAAAGATGAATTGTACACCTCTAACTTGGTCGTCAAGCTCAGTCTACAATATCAGTCCTGCTATTATTGTTTGTTCAATTGCTGTTTTTATTCATACTATCTTTTGGATTCAAGTTATACCATTTTCATCATTAAGACAAAGAAATATGATGTGGTTATATGCATATTTAATAACAGATTTTTTTCTTGTAGTTCGATTTTTCATTTTCTATTTTATACGTCATTGTAATGTTTGTTTATATTCAACATTTCAATTGATCATATGTTACTTTGAAGCAACATCCAAATTTTATATTAACATAGTACAAAGTTATATTTTGCTAGCATTAAATGCATGTCGTTGCGCACAAATAATATTTAATCGAAATGTTTTTATAAAAAATCCTCATTTGATTATTATAACTCATTTTTTGATTTATATTTTACCAGCATTTATTATCACAATACAAATTCTGTGTAATTGGACTATATTATTGCATAGAGCAGGTGAATCTTGTGATATAGTATATATTTCCTTAACGGTACAGATATTTAATCTATTCATCATATATATTATTCCAGTTGCCTTAAATCTTATTATCATCGCATTTTGTATTCGTCATGTAAGTTCAATAAGAGGTATTCGTAGTCAACAAATTATTAATCTTCGTCGTAAACATAAAAAAACTCTTTTAATTCAAACAATAATATTTTATTCAATTTGGCTTGTATTATGGAGCCCACATATACTGGCTTTTCAATTTATTGATGTCAATACTAAACATGGTATTTATACTTCTTTGCTTAACTATATAAAAATAACAGTAGATCCAATTTTTGTTGCCGCACTTGACATTCGTTATTTTCAATCATGGAAGATAATATGGCGTAATATAAAAAGATGTCGACAAAGAGCTGTTGTTGCAGTGTTATAAGTTGCTACTGAACACATCCATTGACAGTGTTATGTTCATCATATGTCATCATTATGCTAAGATTTGTCAATAAATAAATTAATTTTTTTCTGCTATACATATGATATTTATCTATTGATTTCTTGTAGATTTGAATAAGTTCATTACTGATATGAATGAATGGACGTTTTTGACAAATATGCTGTCTTCCTTCCTCAAGTTATGCAATTAACTATTAAGAATATTTTTGATTTTATGTTAAAAGTTAGATGAGATTGTACGAAACCATCATGATCTCTGACGATCATGTATCAAGTTTGGTCAGAAGGTTTTCAATGATCTTATATTTGATGAATTGTTATTCTAACCAAAATAATCAAACAAAATGAAATTTATATATGATGCTTGTTTTCACCACGTTGGGTATCCTAAAAGAATCCCATATTGAAAATGGTCCTCTTTGGCTTGCCTCCTAGTTCGGTGCTAAAACCTCTTTTGAGAAAGACATTAATTGTTCAAATACAGTTTTTTTATTATTGAGGATGTGTGGATGTGAATGAAGTCAATATTTTCATTCTCACCCACACCCTGAGCACATTCAGCTTTTGCAAGATTAATTTTCATTTTATCGCACATTGTGTGTTCAAAGCATATTATAGAAAACTAGTCATTTTCATACCAGAAAAAACATCAATTTTGTCATTGTATCGCTTGCTGTTACAGTTAAAGTAAGAGACACCAAACTGATCTGCACATATGCTGCGCAACTTTTTTTTACTCTACAGAATTTTAAAAAGAAACTTTCAAAAACAAGCCAACCTTAGGGGCTGAAAAGTTGCTCTTATGGTGTATTTATAAGTCATTATCAACAGAGAACAAGTTCACGATATTTCTGGATACCTTCTCTCGATCTCAAATTTCTCTCATAAAAAAATGAAT